GCAGATATATTGCTATCGCGTCAGTCAGTAAAGTAAAGTAAAGTAAAGTAAAGTAAAGTTAAGTAAGTTAAGTTAAGTTGTTAACTCGCCTTGTTTTGACCTGTTCGCAGGCTAGAACAGCTTTAAAACAAGATGGCGTCTTTCGAAAAGCTTTCAAAAGTAGTAATCATTAGTAATCGTGGTATTAATAGACTTTATCCTGACTTTATTTTGATAAAATCTTCTTCTATAGCAGTCTTGGACTGATATAACTCTTACAGTCAAACTGGATGTTCTGTTCCCATGAGTATTGCAACATTGCAATCAATCTTGCAATGTTGATTGCAAATTACTCCGAGCAAATTACACGCAAGTATGCAACTGTCATTTTTTCAAGTTCCTATCACTCCCGTGTTGGGTCAAGAGAATAACAAATCAAAAGGACTAATATTTTGCCTACCACTTGACAAATTAAAGGTAAACTGGAATGTATAGAGGATATTTATACATGGTTGTGCGGAAATATGTAATTTATTTCGAGTGTTGAAGAGAACTATTGCTAACGAGTGAGCGTAGCAAATTGCAAGTTGTTCCATTATGTGATTTAATAATCTAAATTTTTGAGTAAGGTCATGGACATATTGTAAATTATTATGAGTATTTACTATTTTATCTTCGTATCAAACCAAATATATAGCATTGCGAGCTGTAATTGGTATTAAACTCTGCCAGTTTGAGAACATATGTTTACATATTTAACTACCGCAAAATAAATCCCTCTTTGGCACTGAATTTTGCATGTTATTTAGTATTTTTGTATCACGTTAAGATCAAAATGGACATATTTCTTGAATAATACTTTTAATCTGTGAAATGATATATATAAAAATATTAGTCCTCATACTTCGTTTTGGATTTGTTACTTTTTGTGATAGATAGGGGTACCAAAGCCTTGATATTTCCAGAGGTATTAAAATACAAAATTAGCCTGTGACAGTATGCTCCTGATTTTACTTCATATTCGATTTGGAGCAACACAAGTTCTACAACAAGAACGTACACGATGTACTGTGCAAATATAAAACGTCATATTTATAGATATTTGATTGACATGTTTACGCACAGGTCACGCATTTCATACCGCACGGGTTTTCCCTGAGTTTTTATAATCGGGGCTTGCATTTCCGGCAATTGTTTTATGGTTGAATCTTCACGAAACAATTACAAATTTTAGATAGGCACGCAAATTATATTTGCGTATATATCTTGACTGTTATTTAATGGAGGCCTCTGAAACTAGGCTAAACTATGAAAACAAAGTATAGGATAAACGTAGCCCTGTTGTTTTAAATGTCAGAGACTATTATTAACTCATGACTCCATGTACAGATGTCTAATCCCACGTCTTTGAATCCACACATTTTACAGCCTCGGAGCGTAGCGATTTTCATACCGGATTCGGCTGCTGTTTACACTACGCCACAGTAATCCGGTACGCGATGCGGAGCAAAAATCACTCCGCTTTGGAGGTGATATGAAAAGTAATCCGGTATGTGCGGGAGCAGTGTAAACAGGCCATAAAAGTAATCAGTGAACTGTATGAATAGCAGATATTTAGCTCCAGATAAAAAGAAACATTTTTGTATGATTGTTATCAGTTGCCGTGATTCGGGATATAAATGGTTCTCGTCCTCTTAATTTAGAAGTCACTGGTTAAATGTAAATATTATATCTGAAGCAGGCATATAATTTCAACTAGCACAATTTCGCACAATTGCTGTAAAAATGTAATTCCGAGAATGCAACATCAATGCAGTAAAGGCCTGATTCCACGAGCATTTTTTTTTTGGCAGAATACGAAACATTTCTACTTAGTGCGAAAGCGGACAAAGTGGGACAATTCAATACAATCGCACATGTGCAACCACCGTATTTCGTAGACACAAGTTCTCGCGACGAATTTCGCCGTCGTGGAATCAGACATTAAGATCCAGACACCGGACGCGATTCGACAACGCGACGCGATTTTTCAGTTAGTTTGAAAAACAGCCAATGAGAGCAAATCAGTTTGAAACATATGTAGACCAAGTAACTTAGAATGTTATAGCGCTTCTAAACATTTGGAAAATTTAAACTTGGATCAAAGTTATCGGTCAGTGAAAATGGAAAAATCGCGTCCCGTTGTCGAATCGCGTCCGGCGTGTCTGGACCTTTAATGCGCAGATACATGTACGCGGTCGCGTACCTATTTTTTTATCACGTATACATGCAAAGGTGTGAAAAAAACGTGCGTTAAATTTTAGACCAAAAAGGTGTGTTATTAATTAAATTCATTTTCAGCAGACAATTTGAAATAATATGGAATAAAATGTATTCCGAAAGTATCATCTTGGAAAAAAGGATTTGAAATAAAGTCGAAATATAAATATTATACAATTTTGTCTTCATTTTGAATCATATCTATATAACTGGATTTTCAAGATGCATTATTAACACACAGTTATATTTAACACACTTTTTTCTTTGGGAGTTTGGTCCAACATAATCCAACATTGGCGGTATATACTGTTTGAAAATTATATTTATTAATGTTGGCAGGCCTTTACTCTTTAGGACTGTGTAACGCCGAAAACTAAAAAGGCAAAAACAACTGAACATAGAATTTAAAAGATTGACACGCAAGCAAAATATTTTACTTCGCTTAGATTAGTTAAATTATTACAAATGGCATTTTGTGCTTAAAATAAAAACAAATTATAGTGCGTTAGTGCATGTAAAAAGCAATTTTACAGTGCAATTTAGCTCCAATATATGGTGCAGGATAAATGGACGAATATACGACCTTCATGCATGCACATGCCATAGTTGTCAAGACAATAGAATAAACAATGTTAGGAAACTCGAGCATGACAGTTTGAATATTATACAAATAATGAATGTTTCTTCGTGCAATGGTAAGAATATTTTCATGAGGTGAAAGATGGAATGTTCCATTCAACGAGGCGACAGCCGAGTTGAATGGAACATTTCATCTTTCACCGAATGAAAATATTCTTACCATTGCACGAAGAAACATTCATTATTTGTTTTATATAATACCAAAATAGACTAATAGATTCGTATGAGAAGCATTTTGACGGATGTGATTTATCGAAAACATAAAGAGTGCAATGGAATAAAACGTATAGTACAATTGCACTCGCGAAGAGTGCAATGGAACGTATTCCATTGCATTCTTGGGAAATGGAATTTTCTATTCAATATCACGTGACCATAAACAGCCAATTAAACGATCAGAATTCAATAAGGTATTATATAATAGCTACTATCCTGCGAAATGGCATCAGGATAGGATTAAGATTAGATTTGTAAGAATCATGGCTAAAGTTGGGTGTTAGGGATATGATTAAGTTTGTAATAGGTTATTTGGTATGGGTTATTTGGGCGGCTCTCCTCGTCTGGCAATAAGATGGTTGCTGAGTTACATATGAAGGTCGTATAAACATTGACTGAAGAGTTTCAAGTGCGTTAATTATTAAAATTACTTTGATCAGTTATTATAATTGTGCATGGCTATTTGACGATGATCCTACCTTTCTGGCTGCGATTTGAAAAATTATTATTACGTGTGCACATGTAGAAGTATGTTCCTTTGTTCAATTGGATCAGGGGCAGCGAACAGGATGGCGAGAAATAGTCGAGCAAGGAATATTTTTCGTAATTTCGGTCGTTTTCACCTGGCACTTCGCGTGAATTAGACATTTCTGCTTTCGTTTTAAACTTACAAGCGCTAGCCATCATAACAGCTAGGTCGTCTGCGGTTGTAGTTCCCGATGCAGGATCCATCTTATAAACAATTTGTGCATTTTCAACCAAAGTTCCAGCTTTGACCATGGGATAGCTCTCATCCGTAGCAGACATCTGAAGAATGTTACTTCGGTCTGTTCCTGTTTCAAACAAGGGAGTTTACAGTATATCTTGCAAATTTACATGAGCAAAGTTACTCATTTTGGGGGGTGAGGAAGTAAAGTGAGCACATTTGAAACTTAACTAAAAAATTGAGTAAATTTGCTCAAAATTTTCATGCAGTCACTGCATGTAGGTACACTATTTCACCCAGGGTGAAAAAATCGAGCATGTAAGTTTGTGTACATGCAGTTTGATAATTTAGTGGAGCTCATGCAATTTGCCTATGCTTTTTTAGCTAGCAATTGTTTCAGCCAATTACAATACGGTATTCGACCAAAATCGTACGTGATTGGTCAATTGGATCTTTCATAGACAACGTTTTACAGAGAATTTCTCCGAACTAATTCTATTATCAAAAATTCCTTATCTAACCTTCTTTATCCTATTAATCTTCCATATCTAACTTTACTGTAAGCAGTACTAACCTGCTTTGCCTTGACCGTCGAAATTATTAGGATTTCTGTTTGAACCTGTTTCAATAAGAGAAATTTGACATTATAATATGGATCCGGTTATATAGTCAATGGGATTTCCGTATTCTAATGGATCTCTATAGTGTCTCTAATATATATACTACATGTCCCATAGGTATCTTCTATTTTCCTTTTCCAACCCAAACCACCAAAAGCTCGATTTCTAATCGTTGCAGTGAATTTCTGATGATTACAATAAATTGATGATGCAAACAACTGAAAATGTTGATCGACTATATACTCGAAATGGCAGTTATTATTCTTCCAGTAAAATGATTCATTCATCAGCCTATACTTTCTCACCACAACCATTTCCTCAATATGATTTTGAAAGCCCTGTTATACAATCCAATTTATTTTAATTTGGGACTACCTAGCAGGGAGCCCTGAACAAATAGACTTTTCCCCTTTTGAGTGAAATTTTGATCTAGACAAGTCTGGACAAAAAATTCATCACAGCTTGAAAGAGCATCACAAAATTAGTAATATTCCGAAGTTTTGTTGCGAAATGTTATAAAATGCGGATAATATAGCCTTGCGAAGTTTGCCGTTTTTCAGTCATTTTGTATTACAAATGGGAAATTGATAATCAGTTTGATCATCTGATTATCAATTTAATTTGTAATGCAAAATGACTGAAAAACGGCAAACTTCGCAAGGCTATATTATCCGCATTTTACAACATTTCGCAACGAAACTTCGGAATATTACTAATTTTGTGATGCTCTTTCAAGCTGTGATATGAAATTGTTGTCCAGGCATATCTAGATCAAAATTTCACTCATAAGGGGAAAGGTCTATTATATTGCCCCCTCTTGAGTCTTGAATACTGTACAGTACCTGTCCATTGCATATGGACCCAATCGGTTGACCTGATCGTAGCTCGCTTCGGAATGAAATCGTACTCTACAGCTGGATAGACTTGCACAATGTTTCCACGCTTTCCACGGACATTTATATTGTGAATAATTTTGTCGTTCAGGTTAGCAGGACGAGGTTTCAGTAGAAAGGTATGGGAGCGGTCTTGGAACGTGCGGCCAAATTGTGCTGTGTTGATCGCCAGTTGCAAATCAATTGCACTTTCGCCGTATTCGACTATAGGGTTGTTCTCGATCGGAGATTGGTTAACTATTATGTTATTACTGAAAGATAAATATACACACAGAACATTAGGGCCCAGTTCATTTTTTTTTTTGGGGGGAGGGGTTCCCCTTCCCTTCGCGACGCTACTGGGAGCCACTTTCAGCCCAGGGATTGCTAATTTTGCGAGGGCGCCACTTTTGGGAAATGTTTAAATCGTCTTACTTTCGGATGGTCTTACTTCTGGGGAGTTGCTATACTACTTTCGTTCACAAATAATAACAGTTTATTGTTTACAAATAATTAAAATGCCGTAACTTTCGATAGGTCATGGTACTCACCGTTTGCGTTCATTTGATGCTGCAAATGTGTTGGAGACATTGTAGTCGTCTGTCGAGATATTGTACCTAGAGAATTATTCAAAAGCACAAAAATAGCAAAAACAATACGCATACAATAAATTCCGCCACAAGGTCGAAAATGTTTCGCAACTCAAGCATTTAGCTGCTGATGGACTGGTGCATGATCAACTATTCGTACAAAGCTAGTGCTCGGCCAAGATCTGGTTGACTCATCGAGTCTGTAGGTCAGGTCATGACATTGAGTCCTATAGACTCCTAGTTGAACTGGTGACCAACTCATTTCAGGTCGTCCAGCTCGCAGTTAGGAAACGTTGTGTAAAATATTACATATTAAAATTGACCTGATTGTCTGATATATACAGTACCTTATTCGATAAACGCATCTCAAAGTGCGACCAGTGGAAGTATACGGTAAAATCCACTGATGCCTTAAGGCAATTACGTCTTCGCCGTTACCAAGGTGATTAGGCCGTGACGTCGGCGCCACTTTACAATTGAGTTTAGGAGGAAGAATTAAACAAGCTTTAGCAGAATCTCCGAGATTAGTATTCATGTATCGAATCGAAGCTGACCGATACGGAATCGCCCAACGAGTGCGGATATCTGGATTAGCCCTTTGATACTGATCGCATTGTTGCTCCGACTTACTCGTCTCATGTATTTCCACGAAATTGCTCATCGACACCCATTGGCCGCCCCCACGAGTACAGTCCCATTCATTGTTATGTTCAGACTTCCAGTTGAATTGTGAACCCCTTCTCTCCAAGCATTCACCTTAAAAGAGAAGCAAGTTAGCTGTAGTAAAAAAGCAGACAACTGATGAAGTACTGTATATAACCAAAACCCGAAAAATAAAAACATCCTGAATGGATATATTATGGACTGAAACAGGACGTATAAATTTATTAAATTATTATTTTTCGATTCTGTTAAAGAATGATGAGCAAGTTTTCGTGTCAGTTAATCTTGAAGCTTTCTTCATGATTTCCTTTGCCGAGTCTTGTTCATTAAATATCAATGTCATAATGTACAATACTGATGTCAAGACAAGTCAACAAGTGGCTGAAGGAAAGCCACAGACGTTCGTAAAGTCACATTGTATTGAATGGCATGACGTTATAGCGTGCAATAATCTTTTTCATATCACACGCATTGACGTCAATCGTGCAATATTTTTTCTCATATTACATCATTGATGTCAACAACCCCGTATGTTAGCCATTCGTTGTTATGATTATTTTATCGTTGGCTTTTAGCCAATATATCCAAAATCGAGAATTCCGTTTTAGCCATGTCAAAAATTCCGTTTTAAATAAATAAATATATCTAACGATACACAATAGCACTGAGCAATACCTCTCAGTTGGCGATTAAAACTTTCTGCTTCATAAAAAGCACAATCCTCCTGTCGCTTCACATAAATTGAGTCGTCTATCCAATCAGTCGGATGCCAGTATGGATAATAATCTCGTTCTTCGGGGCACTCGTTACCACTACGACCGCCATTCGGGTTTTGACGTGTGTATTTACTTGTGCTTCCCCTCAGTCGTTGGTCTGCGAGGAACAACCCTGAAAATTATAAATGGATTATTTCGAATGAAAATTTTTAAACAAATTTGTTCTCGTTCAAACATCTTCCAATCTCAGCCAACATCACCAAACACAATCTACTCAAACCCTCAAAGAGACCCAACAATATATTCAATAATGTTGTATCGAAAAAGGTTAAGTGAATATTGCTTGTTTGTCAGTTGTCGTAAAGAGTGTAGAGTGTCGCCGATTCTTTTCTAAATAGAGTCAGATCATCTGGTGATACTAAAAGTTAGGTTTCTGAGCGTCCCAACTGGGGTTCCGACCGAAGTTCCCTGGTGTGTAACGTACCATACAAGGGCTCTAAGCCTCTAACCACGATACCCCGATTGCGACACTCAGAATTATAATAAATTAAATATAATATAATATAATTAGTAATAATTATTATACACATATTATTAAACATAACAATTCTGAATGTTGAATGATGCCGTGACTTACTGGACAGGATGATGTTGATAGCAGCGACATATTGATGCTGATCATGACATGAAGGTATTTACAGTAACCAGAGTAATAAATAAATTGTCGGGCTAGGATAAATAATACTAAAAGATAATATAAATTTACCTTTGTTACGTGTTCTTGTTTTACATTTGTCATACCACTGCCAATGCTCGTGTTGACCAGTATTAGCATTCGCTCCATTTTCTGGCGGTGTTTGCGTGTTCACACCTTGCAAAGACATATGGAATAAAACACAACCAAACACACATGCAACCGCACACACACATGCAACCGTATTGGGACGCAATAGAGTTAAAGCGACGGTATATGGTGAGGATTTGAGACAATCTATGTTATATTTTCTCTCTGTATATCCTTTAAATTTATGGTATGAAGCACTCTCTTAGCATCCCTTTCGTATGGGCTAGAAGGACGAGAGGGGGGGGGGGGCTAACATGCAGCCTTTGCTGTCCGTTATTTTTGCTAATTGCGTGATTATTATTACCTGAATATATGTCATTATAATACAATACATACCATTTCGTATCGAATCTCTGTCTCCAATATTCTGTTGTGGTTGGCACATGTATTGTGTGACAATGTTACAGTTGAGATCATCATCACCGCAGCCATGCTGATTCGTCCATTCCACTGTGAGGAAAGACTTTCCCTTTCGTTCAGTTGACTGTCCTTTCGGACCACTCATCAGGAATTCCTATACCATAAATGATCATGAAACACCCGCTCTCTACAGTAAGTACCCCAGTAGCCCAAGAGTTTATTATAGGCGCCAATCTCTATTACACGCCCCTTATCTAACAAATTACCTGCATACACGAAGCCTGGGCGTTTATTAAAGTAAGGGAGCATTCATTTTTTAGCTGGGGGTGGGCAGGAGGAATTTGGGGGTGGGTCAGCCAATTTTGACATGCTTCAAAGGGGTGGGTATTTTTATAGTTTTGGTATAAATGGAGGGGGTCATAAAAATAATCGGTGAAAAAATCACCAATATGATTTTACTGAATTTGGAAATATTTGGATCAAGAATGGTAAAAAGGTCCAGAATCTATCAACTATCTCGTCATCTTTAACAAAGAAGCAAAATTCATTTGACGCTCTGTTCACACAGTCCATAGGAAAACATTTCCATGACATTCGTCAATTGACCTCGTTTTTATCCGTATTTGTGTGAAAACATGAATGAAAGAAAACGCAGGACCGTAGCATGATTTCAAAATCATGCATGATTTCAAGGTCTGCATGACTTCAAAATCATGCAGACCTTGATCAATTTTAAGCTTTATTAATTTTAAGCGGCTACATTATCCATGACAAACTGCAAAGAATGAAAATAGTACCCACAGTTTCTTGCAACTTACCCTAATTATCCAATATATAGTAAATTAAATACGCCTTCGCCCATTTAGTACTACCAAATTGTCAATTTCGACATACTAAAACGCTGTTTTCTGACCATCAGAATTCTGTCAAATCTTCCCACAAAGGCCAGGAAATGGCATTTAAGAGACTCTAGATTTAAAAATTTCCTCGGGCCTTCGGCCCTCGCTTTCAGCCCCCCAATCAAAAAGAGCTTCCTATGGCCCTGAAACGCTATGGAAACGACACCGTGTGGATTAATAGTTAGGATGAGGGGTCAAAAAATTTTCAGTAAAAAAATAGGGGGTCATAATTTTTTATCAACTATTGTCTTGGGGGTTCCAAGTTTTCGCATGGAATTAGACATCAGTTCCTCCGGCCCACCCCACCCCCACCCCAGCTAAAAAATGAATGCTCCCTAAAGGGTTGTTATTATTATACGGTGTTTATTACGCATGAATGGAGAGTAAGAGCCATGGAAGTCAATGCAAATTAAAGAGTTTGATTTGTACGCTCAGAACTATTTCCCTCGGGAGAAGACATTCACCATATTAATTTTATCCTGATGATTAACATTCACCATATTTATCCTGATGATTAACATTCACCATACTTATCCTGATCATTAACATTCATCATATTTATTCTGATGATTAACATTCACCTGCATATTTATCCTGATTAACATTCACCATATTTTATACCCTGATGATTGACATTAACCATATTTATCCTGATCAGTAAGATTCACCATATTTATCCTGATCATTAACATTCACCATATTTATCCTGATGATTAACATTCACCATATATCCTGATTAACATTCACCATATTTATCCTGATGATTAACATTCACCATATTTATCCTGATCAGTAACATTCACCATATTTATCCTGATCATTAACATTATTCACCATATTTATCCTGATGATTAACATTCACCATATTTATCCTGATTAACATTCACCTTATTTATCCTGATCATTAACATTCACCATATTTATCCTGATCATTAACATTCACCATATTTATCCTGATCATTAACATTTACCATATTTATCCTGATGACTAACATTCAGTCATTCACCATATTTATCCTGATGATTAACATTCACCTGCATATTTATCCTGATGATTAACATTCACCTGCATATTTATCCTGATGGTTATAACATTCACCATATTTATCCTGATCATTAACAGTCACCATATTTATCCTGATCATTAACATTCACCATATATATTTATCCTAATGATAAGATTAACATTCACCATATTTATCCTGACGATGGGCGTTTAGTCCGCGAAAGCTCGATTTTAATAAAAACGTTTAACATTTTTAACTAAAACTTTTCTTATCAGAATTCACATAAAACCTAAGACAGATATTAAGTGCATACTATTCGCTATTTTAAGCAAGATAACTTACCATTTCATATTGGTGATTATGATTGTTCCTCTGTGTAGCAGCATATCTTTCCCCAACATTGTAACCACCACGGTTATTATTCTTTAAAATAAAGTACAGATATTTATTACACAGAGGTCGGTAATTATACGAAGGTAGGATAGCTTTAGTTATATCCATTGGGTAGTGATTTTATCGGGCAGTCGTTGTAAAAATGCTTGAAAAGTAACAAAATTACGAATATGGATCAGTAACAAAAGGACACTTTAATTTTTATATACTAAAGTTTAATCTATAGTTTATATTAGCCAATGACCAATTCAAGAAAGCTTGAAACTGAATCAATATCCGGTATAGATATAGCGCTATCTCTGTTGTGAAAACTGGCCAAGGTTTTGGTGGAAATGGGGTAGTGCATGTTCTCCTTCTAAACCTCAATCATCTTCCAAAAAATCGGTAGAAAACTAAAATGCTTGGCATAGTTAGGTACTGAATACCTAAAAATGGGCTATTTAAAGTGACCTATTTTTTTAATAATATATATTGGTGGCATTTATGATTGCTCTGTCCCAAACCGTGTTTATATTAACGAAGGAATAACATGCATTCATAATGATTTATCCAATATCATCGACGACTTATCTGTACATGAAAAGTGCCTTTGTAGGGCCATATAGAGACATGGTCATTTAGTACACTATATAACTAAAGGCCTCAGTCCTATACCAATTGAACTATTATTAAATATGCAGAGAAGAAAAATTGAAATTCTACTTTGTGCATGTATATATGAGGGACTCGAAATTTATATTATAACGCCGGTTACGAGCAAGTTTTCTATATGACAAGTTTTAATATGATAAGTTTTATTTTGCTTGTCTGCATCAACTTTGCCAATTTTTTAACTGTACCTATGGTATACACTAGGTTGTGTACGAGTGCGGATTCGTGATGGAAAAATTGGCAAATTAAAGTACGCGGCGTGCGGAATTTCAGTGTTATTAATAACAGTTGTTGATTAATTGCAGAACGATAACAATTAACATATAACAAGTCCGTTGAGATAACAAACTTGTAACGAGTTTGCAACAATCCGTTTCTACTAACTTGTTAACAAGTCTGCTGCACAGAGGTTTGCCATAACTTGTGCCGCGGTGTCTGTACGTGTGTATATTGGACTAACTCGAATGTATAATGTAGTGCAACATTGGCTTTTGTTCTGTCCCCTTAATGCCCATATATATAGGCATATTAGAGAAGTTTGTCTGCATCATCTGTATATACATGCAGTATATACTATACTGTATATGTCAGTCATATAGACGTACCTGTGAATCAAACAATCTGTTGTTGTTAGCTCTGTTCACGTTTTGTTCATTCAGTCTGTTATTGGATCCTCTTGGATTGTGCATATACACGTCGGCATTAGCATGCCAAAAAATAACCTGCGTAAATAGGAGGCCAAAACTTAAACAGGCCTTTGGTTTGAACGCCATCTTTACTGTATGCGACCCCCAAACTGTTTGGCCTTTACAAAACGCGAATCACATTATTTACTGTTAGATATCCGCCTAGTTTTGGAGCTATCACTGCAATTGAAAAGCTTTGAAAAACTACATTGCAGGATACAAAGGCACCCTTGGAGCGATTTTTCTAGTTATAACTTCCTACCCACTCATACATGTTAATTACAAATCGCGAACAGCATTGTTCACCGTTAGCCGGGTATCCACCTTTGACCTGTGTCTGTTATATTGAAAAAAACTTCTTGTTTAAAAAAAAACAGTTGGGGGGCAACAAAAGCACCATAGGAACTAATCTTTTAGCTATAAAGCTATACCCACTCACGTAGTTTTACTGATTGCATGCATGCATGGAATAACTTCGTATAATACTATATGCGATGTATGCAATATGGAGTTGAAAACTTCATGATATGTAATAAATTTCAGTTTGAATTTCCTAGGATGTTTATAGCAAAGTATACGTGAACAACGTAAAACCCTTATTGATGTAAATATTTTAAATTTGAATGCATTTGGAAGGTAGTCTTAAAATTGAATAAGTAACAGTCTGAACCGCAAGAATTCGGGCTGATACTACAGGATACCTTACTCCATTACCTGTTAATAGCGGGGGGGGGGGGGGGGGGCAGGGACGCGAAGGTTGGCCCTGCCTCTTTTAAGCCCACTCTTTTCATGCAGGTATTTTGTGCACTGTTGTCATAGAAGCTACACAGTGGTGCTTACATGTCAACCCACGATTACATAACACCGCAAATAAAGCCGTAACCACGCTCATTCCAGTGTATACACAAGTTACCTGCTATGCTGAACAATGTTCTTTATATACTTATACAATCAGTGTTTGGAATTGAAAGACTACAGTGTATACTTTAATTGCATGATCTGACAGGGGGGAGAGACCATAAATTCTGTAAATTATTACAAAATTCATATTGTGCCATATACATCTGGATGAAGCTATTCACATATCAATAAAAGTGTTTTAAGGTTTTTGATTAAGTAAATTTGCATTGAACATTTTCCTTCTGAGCATGGACCTTGGGGCAACATATTGCATGCGTGGGGAAAGTTAAAAATACAGTAGACAAAGACAATATAGTCACGAACAATAACAATGCTCAATCATTTATCAAGGACCTCTATAAGGTTATACAAAGTTTTGAATTCTAACCACTCAATCATTCAGTGCCATTTTGGAGGATATACCGGTGTTTATTGTATCCTGTATACCGCTAATACGCCCACGGTCCTACATAATGTAACATAATGCACTTAAGCCTTATAGTTAGGCCCTGGTTTCTTGTAAGGTAAAACCAGAAGATTTTAAACAAAACGATTATAATTGGAAAATCCGTGTTTATTTTAGTTGGAAGATAAATAAATTTACATGTAGTTCAGAACTAGCAATCAAATGTGGTGTGAAGCACATGTTCTTATTTTCAAGTAAACAATACGTATCACTATCTCCATATAGATATATCTGTATTGTGTTTATAAACCTCGAGTTTATTACCATTTATAGAATATAAGGCTTGTTGTCAATAATGAATAATAAAATTATCTATTATTTAGGCTATATATCGCACAGATGCAACGAGTCTTATAATCCAGTTATATACTAATGCCAAATTTAATTCAAAAATACTTAATACTGTCAAATTGCAGCAGTCCAATACAGTATTCTACATATTTATTATATGTCATAAAAGGTTATTCATATATCCTAAATTGATATACTATTGTTAATAAGCCAGACATAGAGATTGGTTATTACGACTTGGGGTATATACGAACGTATCTTCATGAATATTATATACACTGCATGCATTTTATCTATGGGGCGCACTTATTCCGTACGGAGTATTCATACCCCTAAGGTGAATGGTCCTCGGATGTTTTAGTTAGGTGCAAACCCGTATCGGAGATTGTTACAATGGTGGATTTATCCCGGTACCATGCAGGTCCAATCTCGTATACGTTATAAACTCGAACCTCAGTGACTCGAACCCCCCATGAAGATCAGCTGCGAATATTTTAACGTACTTGTACAATGAATTTATTTGTTTACTTTGTTAGTATTCCAGCACCTTTGAATTTACTATATGAGTAAATTGTAAACACTTCCGAATTTATCAATATGATAAATTCGCGAACATGTTGCCTGAGCCCTAACCCCAAACCTCTAATTTTAATCTAACCAAATCTAACCCTAATCTAATCTTTATTTGATACTAGTCCAGATTTGTTTTCAAAATCATGTTGTAGTATTCACAAATCTATAATCCCACAATCAAATTAACATCCCATAATCTATGATCACATTGATAAATTCGGGCATGCATGCACGCCCAATCAGCGCGTTTCGCAACCTAATGGTATATCGCACATCGAAATTCGTTCTATCTCTACCATGCAAGCATGTTTATAAACAGTAATTTGTGTTTCTTTTACATTCCTATATCCTATCAACATTCATATATCTTCGCAGTTTAAAGTCATGACGGCCCTATGCATTATAAGCGCATTTTGCCGCCCGAAATTCTTCTAACTCGAGCTGCAACTCGTACATTTATAAGTAATTATTATTTTATGACTCGACTTATTAACCTAATTATGATTATTTTTAATATCCCTAGCCTAATCATTGTCATCGATGTGTATAATATAGAGGGCAATCGCCAACTATCAGCACATTTTGACACCTTACATATATAATGGCATTCCCTATATATAGCCTATATACAAATTTTGCAACATGAGTTCTACCGTAAAAAAAAACTGAGGTCATCAAGTTTAGATTAGTGTCAGATAAAGATTAGGGTTAGATTAAGATTATATGTTAGGGTTAGCGTTAGGGCTCGACATGTGTCGCGAATTCACTCATACTAAAGGTGGAGCTCATACTGAAATTTTTACCGACAGAATATCACTCGAATTTCACCAAGAACTCGTTGGGGAACACTCTTAACTTAATTAAAGCTGTTTAGAATATGTTAGAATAGGAATCAAGATCAATTTAAAATCATTTTGACACAAGTTATTTGACTCGTGAGTCCTGTCGTATGGTGATTCGTCCATACAACACGAGTTTAATTTTACTTACTAAAAACTGGATAAAAATCACAGATAAAGTATTCAAAAGCGCTGTAAAACCTAGCAGCCGTGAGAGACTACGATTAATGTCAAATTCAATGATTTTCGTTTGCAACTGGGAACATATAGTCAACATGCAGTCGGTCTTTGACTTCGTCTTGAGCGAGCGGCCATTTACATTTGGGACAAAATTTAATCACAATATTCACACAAACTACAACAGTACGACATTATACCTGTTTGAGATCGACTTAGAGCACAACCACGCAGAAGACATAGAACATCAAAAACTGCTGAGAATACTAACTGCTCATATATAGTACTTTAGTTTGATTTTAAATCCACCAGATTGATCCATTTCACTGCCACGGCTCATGGCAGAAGCGACTGAGTGAATTCCAACAACAAAACACGCGAGAATATACCTAGCTATCATTGGTTGAAATTATGCAAAGCTTATTGGTGCATTCTTTGGGCGTCCTTGGGGAATTGCCGTTTTTATTAAGACAATAGCTAAATAATGCATGAATTCAAGCAGTTGAAAGCAATTATAACGTGAAACGTTAAATGTCACTATGTTAAGTAGATAGCATAATAGAAGGTCATGATCACGCAGAGCTTATAGGCATAAACATTCACCTGGTACTTAATAAGCAGTAGATTTTATAACCGATTGGACGTTGTTCAATTGCTAAATTCAAAACAACAGTGACTCATGCATGATGGCATGAAGAACAGTGGGGTTTTCCAAACAATGAAAGGACAATGAAGGATCCCAATCACTGCGTTGTGACTGCATGGCAATAAATAATTTATTATTGTTATACATGCAGGCTGAGTAAAAAGAACTAATACCTTCGCGGCTAATTTGAATAACAAAGTTGTCAGTTTTTTTTACTCACTCTGTTCTGTATGAAAAGTCCTTTATAGAAATAATGTTAAATAATTGTCCTTTTTGGAGCCAGCGATGGTAGGCCATGGTATCCGGCTTAGATTCCTGGAGCAATTTAATATTGAAAATATTAAACTTTTGAAAAATCGTCAAACAATACAATCCTAACTTCTTAACGATTTCTCGCGTTTACGGTTATACAATTCTTTTGTTTTTTTATAATGACCAATAACAAGGCTTAAATTTTTAATTTAATTTAGTACGTTTCCGAGTTTACTCCATCATCAGGTAAAAAACTACAATTTATACAACCCCGTCACATTAGTTGATTTTTTGCGAATGCTAACCATTCTATATATGATTGATTTTATAATTGGTGGTAAAATATCCCTTCTTGTAGGCCAGCATATATATATATATATATATATATATATATATATATATATATATATATATATATATATATATATATATATATATATATATATATATATATATATATATATATATATATATATATATATATATATATAATTCCTATACGGATGAAACAGACTGTTGTGGTTTTTTGAGGTAAAACGGAAAACTATATTACGCTTTATCTATATGGTATTGAGCACTGTTTGTGTTTCGTAAACCAAAATCTTAAGCTATATATATATATATATATATATATATGTGTATATATATATATATATATATATATATATATATATATATATATATACCAATTTATTTTAAGTTTAGTTTTTTAACTTTTGGTTCAGAAGATCAATCAGAAAAAGTGTTCATATTAGATCGATACCCATATACTAGCTAATTTTCCATGCAGCCACTACGTTAATTGTAAAACAGAAACAATAACCAAAATACGTAAGTATGTATATTGAGACATTCATCCTACAGAATTTATATTTTATACATACAATTACATATACTGAACTTACTTTTATTGGTGTTAAAGCATAAAAAATTGGTTGCAAAAAGTGAATATTTCTGCACATTATGTGATATAGATTTAAAAGTTCTGTGCAATCGGTACTTAAACTAACATTGTATAAAATACATATACAATCAGTTGCTATACACTCCAAATGTATTAAAAGAACACTTAATATTTGGGAAAGTTCATCCAGTGACGTCCGATCATTCCAGAAAAAGTGTTCATTTGTGCAAGTGGAACGCTGCTTATGCTAATGAGATAGATCCAAGTTATAGAGAGCCTTTAGAATTTTGATCCCACAAAAATAAAAATATACAGTTAAATATATACAACCGCATAGAACATTATTGATCATTCATTATTATGCCTGAGGTTTATACCAAAGAGAATTTTCCGGAGTGTCAATACTTTGAACTTTATGGAAGTTTTGGTATATAGTCAAGCGAAGGCAAATGCTTGCTAATCTCAAAAATAATGTCGGACTATAGTTTTCTTGAAATTCATGGTCGTCTTCATGCAAGCAGTCTGCATTTAAAAGGAGAATTCCTTTTTATAATAACATTGTTATAGCATCACACTGAACTGCATGGCATTGTTTTATCTTAAATTTTCATACTACTTTTGATTCACCATGCATGCAGTAAAGGTCCAATATCCTCTTGAAGTTGGATGAACACTGTCTTCAGTAATTACCCCAGGTATAAATTATGAACGTTCCGCTATTACTATAATCTGCATCGATCTTGCATTACAGTGCATATATAATTGCTAAAGCTAAGGTAATTGATAATTGAGTCAAAATATTAATGACTAGTGTGGCAATTTGCATATATACCGTAAATCCTTTATTAAGCGTCACCGCACGATTAAAGGCGGGCTTGTTGGAAAGAGGAGGGGGATTACTGATTTAGCCAAAACGCAGTACGCAACACTGCAAATTAACGTAAAATTTGAGGCCTTTTAAGTAATCTTGCTAGGTATTCAGATGTGTTTTGTTTGTGAAGAGAGATGGGATGCTGAATAGAGAGGAGTATGTTTAACAAATTTCTTCTTTCAAGAAGAGGGTGACTTAATAGAGAGTTTGGCAACCAACAACGGCAGAAAACAAAATTACTTTTGCATGCGAACCAAAGTATAATGTAACAACACCTATGACGTACTAGAATGCTCAAGGGAATACAATTTATAGTCGCCTTTGTCTTAAAAGAAAATTCTATTGTTGATGATTATTGATTACGTGTTCATTGACGTTGCCGTTGTGTTTGCCAAACTCAGTATTGAAGGATCTACGGTACATCACAAATGCTTTAACCACTTTGATTCTTGATAATCAGGCGACCTTTCTGACTTCGGTTGGTGAAATTGTTATTTCGTGTGCACATGTAGTAGTACGTTCCTTGATTAGCCCATTTCATCACGATACCAGCGAACGAAGGGCTGGCGTTGTTCAACTCGTCGTCCAACGTTCGTTTTCTACCCTTTTCTTCAACGGTCGAGTAGTACCCTGACGATGCCAAGCTTGCCTCGACGTCTTTGTAGCTTCTGGATCTACCAACGAAATTGTGAATGACTTGTGCCGACTTGAGCATGGCTGAGCCGAACGGCACGGGGAAACTGTACGGTGCATTATTCATTTGGACGAAATTGTTTTTGTCCGTTCCTGGAAGATAATTAGTTAAATCACAGTTAATAGAATAACCGAAACTTTTACTTGGTAAGTAAATGCCGAGTAAATTTTCCATGCACGTCTCTTACCAGCAGCTCCTTGCCCAGCATTACCCCTAGGATTGGTGTTAGCACCTAAACACAAAATAACGATAATAAGCATATAGTCCGATTAGATTCGTATATTCATCAACATTACCAATAAATCACTATCATTATGAAATAATGATTTTATTTATACACGATCATCGTCATTATCATTACTATCATCACCGCTATCATCATCATAATCACCACAATTAACCATCAGCATAATCACCATACTCACATTTATAATGATTATAATCGCATATAATAATAATATAAAACATTCGCCTGGATTTATTACCTGTCCAGGCCATGTGAATTGCATCATTGGTGGATATCGTCAACCTTTTGGGCACAAAATCATATTCCACAGCCGGATATACTTGAACAATATTTCCCCTTTTCCCTCTGATGTTGACATTATGGATATTGAGGTCATTTGGTAAATCATTTCTAGTTCTTGGTTTCAATATGAACATGTGTGACCGATCCTGGAAGGTTCTTCCAAACTGTGCTGTGTTAATGGCCAGTTGTAAAGGAAGCTTGTCGAAAAGTCTCACTGTTGGGTTGGTCTTTATTTTATTTCTACAATATAAATAATTCTTAGACACTTTTACCCTAGAACGTTCGGTATACTTATAGTTGGGTAAGGAGCGGCGGAACAGATTTCATTTTGGGGGGGCTAAATTTTTTTCCGTGACCTCCCCCCCCCCGACCCCCGGACATATACAGGAAAAGGGACGAAAAAATTTTTTCCGGACCTATAACAAAAAATTTTTCCAGACATACACTATTTTTAAACAAAATATAGGAAATTTTTCCCCTTATACCTAAATTTTCAAAAAATACCCTAAATTTTTTCTTAATTATCAGAGTTTTTCCAGAAAAAACAGAATTTTCTGGGGGGGTGGCTAACCCCCCCACCCACTTTTACTTCTGGGGGGGAGGGCTTCAGCCCCCCTAGTCCCCCCCTGTTCCGTCGCCCCTGAGTTGGGTAATAATGATGAGTGTATATTAAGAAACGTCAAGTCGTGAATGTAATTTCTTCCGATCGATTATAAACATTTACTTTAAGATGTCTTGAAAATTCCATATATAAGCTCTTCAACGTTGTATCTAATTAACTAACTTTTCTTATTTTACGCCATTTTCTTGCGGCAAAAGATAGAAAAATTAATAAACTTACAGTGGGTCGTTCGTTGAGATGTTGTATCTAAAAACAGACAAAATGTTAGTTTGTATATTTTAGAGGTAGTATAAAAGGAAATGTATTTCCTAAATGCACCAATACCAAGGGATCCAATGTACAGAGGGGAGGGGTTGCCCCATGTTATTTTTCACCCTGCTCGGTTTCCTTTGTTCTTGTCGGGGAATATAATCAATATTCCCCTCTAACCAATTTCCGTTTAATAATCCCCTCTAATATTCACCTGCAATTAATAATCCCCTCTAATATTCACCTGCAATGTTTTGCAGCACAAAAAATGAGAAAAAACAACATCGCGCAGGCAATATGGCATTAAGAATTCTTTCTTTTCTGACTCATTAACGCGACCTCGCAGTATGAAAAATAAGTACGTTATTTTGAGGCACCTCGGGGATATGTGTTTATTCACCTCGGCGCTGCGCGCCTCGGTAAATAAATGACATATCCCCTCGTTGCCTCAAAATAACCTATACATAATGCCAAAGAACTGCATTATCTTGACGTCTGACTCCAGCAACAATAAACATGCGTAAACCTACCAATATACCATGCATGCAAGGAATCCAATGTACAAGGGAACTGATAATTTATGTCTTAGACACTAAATATGCAAATGAAAGCTGACAATTAAAAGGTTAAAACGCCCAGAATGTCTGATTGTCACCGTTTCTTTCACCTACGCTGACTTTAACCTTCTCTTGTTTAAATGCTTTGGTGACGGATGAAGTATAAGGTTTTTTCGGGTTAGACTTCAGTCATTGCCATTTTCCTTCAGATTCAGTGTCCACTTGACATTAAAAGCACAGTTCAGCCTTTTGAATGATGGTTTTTAAGGCGCATTTGATCTTGAATGATGCTTAATTGATTTTCCTAGTTAGTGTTTTCAATTAAAAAGGCTGAAATGCGCCTTAAAAACCATCATTCAAAAGGCTGACCTGTGCCTTTAACTAATAATCATCACATCCAATTTTAGTTCTAAATCACGACAATCAGTGCATACCATACCTGATTCGGAAAAAACATCTCTGTTCCTTCTGAGATGGGTAGTGTGGCAATTTCCACTTATAGGTAAGAGGAGTGATGCCATTTCCGTTGCCAAGGTGATTAGAACGCGAGTACGGAGCCACGAGGCATTCAGGCTTTTTCAGTGGGACCACACATTTCTTCTTTATTTCACCTCTATCTTGATCGTATTCATCGGAACGATAAGCATACAGCCACTTATTACCTGCAGCTTCGCAGCTTCCTTGTGTATTTTGCGGAGCTTTCTCCAAGTAATTGTGAAAGTCGATCCATTGTCCTTGGCACTCTGCAGCGTTGTTGTATTTTGAATCGTGTTTGAAAGATCCGTCACTGTATTTCTCCATACATTCCCCTACACAATAAAATGTTAGGATATCCGGAGATGAGCAACCAATCAAATTGCGTGAAAAGCACTATATGCACCTCCTGAGCCTTTCTAAATATTTAACAATTATTCGCCTCAGGCTCGCGGTGATTATCGGGGAATATTCACCGAGACGAAGTCGAGGTGAATACTCCCCAATAATCACCGAGCCTGAGGCGAATAATTGTTTTAGTATTTTTACAAAAGCTTTTGTGTTTTTTGAGACTGAATTTATTTTAATTTCGCTTATATTTCTTTGTCAGTAAACTTCCATAAAACTGGTGGCCGCCATTTTGAAAATTTCTGTTTTGTTTGTTATATTCACCTGTAGGTGAATATAACAGCTTAATACGTCAAATTTGACCAATCAACGTGTAGGATTTGTTATGTTCACTTGTGCAAAAATACTAAAACAGCTTAACACGTCAAATTTGACCAATCAACTTGTAGGATTTGTTATATTCACTTGTGCAAAAATACTAAATGCTAATATCTAATTACCCCTGCCATGCTTGCATATATACTCACCTTTCGGTTTGACGTTAAAACTCTCGGTCTGATAGTAGGAACAGTCGGCTTTCTTGTCAACTAACACTGCAATGTCAATCCAATCCGTCGGATGCCAGTAGGGATAGTAATCACGTTCCTCGGGACATTCAAATCCATACCGCGTACCCTTTGGATTTTGACGGGTATATATACTTGCTTGTGTTCTAGATCTTGATAAGTCTTTGTCTGCGGTAAAGAGACCTGTCGACAGTATGAAATTTAGTAGTAGTTTATTATTGTCAATGGACAACTTAGGCAAACATGTGTTGTTCCTCATGTTAGACTAAATTTTAATCGAAGTAAACAGAAGGTAATCAAACACCACAGCTAAAAAGAACATAATGAAATTAGTAAATTTTTTTTTTTTTTTGTGTTGGTGTTGTGTACTCAGGTGAATAATATGTTTGCGATGTTACTCTATTATATTACTCATATTACTAGAACACATTGGTATTGAAGGAACTAGATACTGTTCCGAAATATCACTTACTCGAACGGTCCTGACCGCGTAGCTCAGCTGGAAGAGCATTGCGCTAGTATTCCAAAGGTCGTAGGTTCGAATCCCACCGTGGCCGGGCATATTTTTCAAGCTCGCCCGGTGTGGATATGCACTCAGAGTAACATCGCAAACATATTAGTAAAATTGTTTGCTAAATCAGTTGTAAAGCTTGGAAAATATAGTCTTGCAAAGTTTGCAAATTTTGTATGTGTTTTGTATTACGTGCGGAAATTGTTACCATTTTCGGCTCAAAAATAGTAACAATTTCCGCACGCAGTACAAATACAAAATATGCAAACTTCGCAAGGCGATATTTAACATTTTCCGTATTTTACAACATTTCGTAACCAAATTTTGCAATTTTACGTTCTTTACAGGAATTTACTTTTTTTTGCCAAGAACAAAAATTAGTCCAACATTCAAGTTATCTATTACACAGGATGTGGTTTTCCATGTCACGTGAACGAAATGTCTTATTGGAGAACGAGCCCAGAACCTTGCCTTAGCAAAAAGATTGAAGAACATTTTCAATTTGTCACACAATGCGTGATTTGGATGCGCAGTGGAAATTCCGAATTAACTTATTAGTGTGAATGACAAACATTAACATGATTAATTTAATCTGTGTTTCTTCTTTTGTTACGGGGAGGAGGGAGGTGTCTTGGTGTGGAAGAGAAGTGGGCTTATTATTGTCTAAAAACAGGGGTTATAGAGAAGGGGATTTTATTTGAGAGGAGTATATTAACAGAGGATTTACGGTCAAACAGATTCTGATGCCTGAAAGGGTCTATCGCTATAACCTACCATGGTTACGATTTCTTTTGGTGCACTTGTCGTACCAGGTCCATGGTTCATTAAGACCATAACTACTGTGCCTTGAATGATACTTTTCTTCTCTGTCTTTTTGTCTTTTACTTGTAAATGGATTGTGTCGTCGATATCGAGGTGTCGATTCCGTCTGACCTGTAAGGGCAATAATAATTATTTTGTTACTGGCAAAATTTGCAATTCTACCACTTTGCGCGAGCTTATCAGATGCATTTAGTGAAAACAAAGTGTAAACAAAAAATGTAAATCACTTTACAGAATACAGAAAATCAATT